CCCCCCCCCCTTACTTTTTCTCCCATTTCAATTCTATTTTCGTGTTAAGAATTATATAATTTTGTATTTTAAAGCTAATAAAATAAAACGGGAATTTTACGGGATTTAATGATTTAATAATTTAATATATATTTTGTGTGTTTTCATGTTTAATATTGAAGTACAGTAATGGTTTTAATGAAACCGCGCAAGGTTGATGTAATCAATTATTTTTAGAAAATTAATCAAATGAAAAACTTGTACTTAGTGAACCAACAAACGTTTCAAGAACTTTTTTTAGAAGAAGTGATTTTTAAACTATCTAATTTCTAATTTATTATTTTAATTTATTGGAAAAAAGAAGTGTACTGCATTTTCTGAGAGGAATATACACACTTTGTTTTCATTCCTCCAAAAAACTGCAGGTAATTCAAAATGGTCACTCCCCTAGACTCATCGTCATTTTCCTTAAAATTGTTATATCCCTACCTCTATCCCTCTCTAGATGGTATAGAATACGGTTGACAGTGTGCATTGCATCATGCATCATATCATTCAACTGTCCGGCGGAGGGTGTCTCCGCCATCCGTCCCTCCTCCTCCACCCCTTTCCATTCCTCCGCCCTTCCCTCCTCCAGTAGATTATTCTCGAATGCTGATGGAACCTTCCTTGGAGTTCTTGGACCTAGTCCTGGCTCCCAGTATGTCGTAGATAGGGAGAGAAGATCGTCCAGACCAGAGTCCCACTCGGGGGGTAAATCGTCCAGTTCGTCCCAGTTTATAGATTTCTCAACTCGTCTCCCTCCTCCACCTCCTCCATCTCCTTGTCCTCCATCGTCCCCGACCTCACAAACCACCAACTCCAGTATCACATACAAACTGAAAAAAAATCAATAAAATTTATTTAAATTTTAGATTTTTCAATAAAAAACCTTTATTATTTTTAATAGCAAAGAAAAATTCATGATTTCTAATAAAATTTGGTTTTGATTTAAAAAAATAGGGATGACTAATTACGCATATAAAGTCCAAGAAAAGATACGGTGTTGACGATCTTGTGGCTTTTCCACCACTTTGTTCTATTAAGAGAATAGGGAACGCAAAATACTATAAAGTTGTTGTACCTACGTACAAAATACTATAAAGTTGTTGTACCTATGCACAAAATACTATTAAGTTGTTGTACCTATGCACAAAATACTATAAAGTTTTTGTACCTATGCACCAAATACTATAAAGTTGTTGTACCTATGCACAAAATACTATTAAGTTGTTGTACCTATGCACAAAATACTATTAAGTTGTTGTACCTATGCACAAAATACTATAAAGTTGTTGTACCTACGTACAAAATACTATAAAGTTGTTGTACCTACGCACAAAATACTATTAAGTTGTTGCACCTATGCACAAAATACTATAAAGTTGTGTACCTATGCACAAAATACTATAAAGTTGTTGTATCTACGTACAAAATACTATAAAGTTGTTGTACTGTACGCACAAAAAGGCATTTTATTAAAAAAATGTATTCTCTCGCAAAACTATACAATACATTTAATAATGATGTAGTTTAAAGTAGTAAATGAAAACAAAACTACTAATTTTTAAAAAGTTTAAAAGACAGAGCGAACAAAAATACAAAGATTTACTTTTGGGAAAGCTATTCTCGATGAGGGAGGGGGGAATTACGTGTTTAAAAATGTATTTCGAATCTGGTAATTTATATAGAACAGGAACCTTTAGAGCTTAAACCTGTCCTAAAATCCGTTCCGTAAAGTTGACAGAATAAATATATTAGTGTCCCTATAATACTAGAAGTGTAAAGGNAGGGCTTATCACCAAAAATAACCTTTTCATCGGAACTCCTAAACTCCATAAACCAGTTCTGGGGATACACTTATTTATGATCAAAAATATTTCCTGGATTTAAACCCCGGATCCGTTACACTGTACAGCTTACATGCATTTATGTACAGTTTACTGTACGCTTTACAGATATCTTGTACAAAGTTCGAAAAATGTACAACGATAACAGAAATTTGATTTTACCATGGATATCATTTTTAGTCGGGTATATTCCATTTTCTTGTAAATTAAATTAAATTTATATTTTTAGATTAAAAAAGAACTCGTATTTCAAAAAAATCTGGATTAAGAAAAATAAACTGTCCAATCTCTATACTTTAAAATTAAAAGGAGTGATTATCAACTTTAGAAAATAAATATATTTTAGATATTTATAAAAAAAGCTTTGTTTACAAAACTAGCTGTTTACTAGTACAAAGGAAAATAAGGTTTAAATCGGGAAAAAATTGTAAACAGCTAGACAACTAGACAGCTAGACAGTTAGGCAGCTAGACAGGTAGATAATGAGACAACTAGACAGCTAGACAGGTAGATAGCTAGACAACTAGACAGCTGGACAGTTAGAAAGCTAGACAGGTAGATAGCTAGACAGTTAGACAGTTAGACAGTTAGACAACTAGACAGCTAGACAACTAGACAGCTAGACAAATAAAAATCTAGACAGCTAGACAGCTTTACAGCTAAACCACTAGACAGCTAGACAGTTAGACAGCTATACAGCTAGACAGCTAGACAAATAAACATCTAGACAGCTAGAAAAATAAGAATCTAGACAGCTAGATAGCTAGACAAGTATACAAATTTTGACAGCAAAAAAATAAACGTCTAGACAGCCAGAAAGTCAGACAAAAATCTAGACAGCTAAACAGGTAGACAACTATACAGCTAGACAGACAAACAGACAGATAGACAGTTATAGACAGCTAGACAGGTCGACAGCTAGACAGGTGGACAACTAGACAGGTAGACAAGTAGACAAGTAGACAAATAAACAAGTAGACAGCTGGAAAGTTAAACAGCTAGACAAGTAGACAGACAGCTAGACAACTAGACAAGTAGAGAAATAGACAGCTAGACAGCTAGACAGCTAGAAGGCTAGACAGCTAGACAGCTAGAAAGCTAGACAGCTAGACAGCTAGACATCTAGACAGCTAGACAGCTAGAAAGCTAGACAGCTAGATAGCTAGACTAGCTGGTATAGAAGGGTGTGCTATGGAATGCTGAAGAGGATGCATCTTTCTTCCTTGTTCCAACATTCTTAAACAGCAACAACATTCCAAGCTTTAACCAGGGGGGGGGCGAGGGCTAGGGAGGGGGGGGGCAAGATATCGAAGGGGCCAGGGGAGCTAGACGATGGTGGAAAGTGGGGGCTATATACCATTACCTCATATGTAGATTAAAAGTCCTTTATAAAGATGGCTTTAAATATACGGACTAGGAAACATGATATTTTGGACTATTTAATATCGGTACTACAGACTATAGGTACTACGGAATATAGGTACTATGGACTAAAGGTACAATGGACTATAGGTACTATGGACTATAGGTACTATGAAATTTAGGTAATATGGACTACAGGTACTATAGACTATAGGTACTACGGAATTTAAGTACTATGGACTATATGTACTATGGACTATAGGTACTATGGAGTATAGGTACTATGGACTATAGGTACTATGGACTATAGGTACTATGGACTATAGGTACTATGGACTATAGGTACTTTGGACTAAGGGTACTATGGACTATAGGTACTTTAAACTATGTGTACTATGGACTTTAGGGACTATGGACTCAAAACTAAGGTCAAAGCGTGTTTGAAGAAATAACAGAATGAGAATCAAAAGGAAAAAACAAACCAGTAATTGAAGAATACAGAAGATACAGAAAGACACCAGATTAAAGAAATTTTATTTACAAAAACCATTATTTCATGATAAGTTAAGTAAATTTTTCAAACAGTGCAATTTAAAAATGGCCTTTCATGCGTTTTGAAGACTAGACATTAGGATTTCTGTTGGGTATTCAAATAGTAAAAATTAAATATTGTTTTCATTAAAATTAAATTATCATAAACATATATCTATTATACATATATCTGCGTCGGAAAGTTTGTTGATATTAAATTTTTACTTTGCATCTGCAGGGTCGTCAAGTCAAAGCTTAAATTGAAGGGTCTTTTGAGACAGACACCAATTTTATATAATTACAAGTAATGGTTTTTTTACCGGAGATAATGGGAAGACTAGTAGGAAACCCCTGACCTTGTTGGCTGGATTTACTAGTCCCAATACTCGTTATGCACCCATCTAAACTGTAGTCTACACTGGTCAGCACACCTCGGGCAATATATGCAGGAGTTGAGACCGTTCTAATAATTAGGTTTGGAGGATTTCTCGGGTAGAATTTAACCGATTACTTAAGAAGGGTTCAACCTGTTTTAATTCATACATATACCGGCTGTTGGAGGGTAAAAAGTGCCGGTTAGTAAAACTTTATTTCACTTGTCTGCCATTGGAGAACTATTCTGCCTTTGCAGTTATTATGGATGATGTCCATTCTGCCTTTGCAGTTATTATGGATGATGTCCATTCTGCCTTTACAGTTATTATTGATGATAAACATTCTGCCTTTGAAGTTTTTATGGATGATGCTCATTCTGCCTTTGCAGTTATTATGGATGATGTTCATTCTGCCTTTGCAGTTATTGTGGATGATGTTCATTCTGCCTTTGCAGTTTTTATGGATGATATTAATTCTGCCTTTGCAGTTTTTATGGATGATGTTAATTCTGCCCTTGCAGTTTTTATGGATGATGTTGATTCTGCCTTTGCAGTTTTTATGGATGATGTTAATTCTGCCTTTGCAGTTTTTATGGATGATGTTAACTCTGCCTTTGCAGTTTTTATGGATGATGTTAATTCTGCCTTTGAAGCTTTTATGGATGATGTTTTTAACAAGGTACATAGAAAATCAGAACTCTTTCATCGATCTATACTTGAATTTTCAGTTTTTCCTTCAATTTAGGCAGATACAAATTGTTGAAGGTACCTGTCGGGGCATAATGTTAACATAAAGTGATAAAGCTATTAGATATTTTTCTTCAGAACTGCAATTTTTTTAAACCAGTCAAAAGGCAAAACCCATGTCTCTCGAAATAGTTGGACCCACTTACACTTCGGACACAGTCTTTTTAGCATTTTTTCCTCTTACTATATATATATATATATATATATATATATATATATATTAAGTTTGATTATTATTAAAATATTATACAATACATAAAACCAATTTATATCTTCACACATTTAATATTGTTAATCTAACAGCTTAATGATGATATGAAACATTATATAATTGTTTTAGCACTATAATTACTACAATTAGTTTATTCTGGTTTTGATAAATATAAAGCAGAGACATCTATCAGCCTATTATCTAGTTAAGAACAATGGTTCCTAATCATATGGTTGATATATATCAATTTAGATATTTTATAAATCTCTGAATTCGTATTTCATCAGTTTAATACGGATAAGATAACATTTGAAACTTTAAAAAAAGTTTTTTTTCTCCAAATGTTGCCTACTTATATCTTTGTATTTAGAACAGATTGAATGACTATAATATGATGTTGAATGTTGGTATTTGAAGGCTATTTTATTCAAGCAATACAAGTTCTTTTAAATCAATTTATTTTACTTTTTATACGGTTCTACGCATCCTAGTCAATAAGGGAACAAAACTCTGCGTGCAGTTTGTGATTTATGAAATATAATTTCGCAGATTTTTCAGCGGATCGTGATCTTTAAAACTCATCTATCTTTGTAAATTTCTCGTAATAATAGATACACCAATTCTAGTCTTGTTTTATTATCATACGAGGATGACTTTTTCTTTTTATTCTTTATATTGTTAAATCCCCAAAATATATAATATTTTTTCTCTTACGCTTAAATCTTAATGTATTTTTACTTTATACTAGAACTTTTACAAAATAC